GCCATGTTGGACAGCAGCCAGGACCAACAGGAGGATGCAATCCATGCCGGAAGGAAGGCTGAGAACAGGTGGGCAGGATCCTGGAAGTCAAGTATGTCGCCCTTAGGAACACTCTCAAAAGGAGAACTTGCCCTGGGACTTTACCTGGCTGGTTAACTGCTGGCCATACGAAGAGCGGAGACCTTGCGTGCATTTCCAAGGCTTAGAGTATGAAGGGACTCTTTCTGGGTGAGTATACTGGCCCCTTTGTTGAGGGCTTGTGGCTTAAACCTCTCAGACCCAGGGACATAGAGGCTCAAGGTTTTCCAAGGTAATGCAGGAGTCTAAGTCCGTGCAACCTTGTGTCCATTTGTTCTGTGAACAGGGCCCCCATATTGAACAGCTGGTCTTGAATGGAGTTGTGCGCCTCCAAGTCCATAGCATCAGATGCTACTTGTAGAGGTGCCAATGCCACTGAGGAACCTTCCACAACAAGGGCCTTAAACTCCTTGCAAGATGCTTCGGGCAGGGAGGCGTCAAATTTTGCCAGTGCCCCCCCAGGTGCTCATGCCATATTGTGTGAACAGGGCCTGGTCATTCGCCACCTTCAGCTGGAAGCTGGCCAAGGAATAGACCTTCCTTCCAAACAAATCCAGCCATTTGGAGTCTTTATTCTTAGGGGTGGGTGCTGAGTTGGCTGGCCCTGGCACTCCCTGTGGGACACGGACTCCACCACGAAGGAGTTGGGCAGCAGGTGGGTATAAAGGTAGTCATGGCCCCCCACTGGAACAAAGTACTTACATTCTGCCCTCTTGGCTATTGGCGGAATGGAGGAGGAGTATCTGCCAGAGTGTCTTGGCCGCTTTAGCAACTGCCTTGTGCAGAGGCAATGCTACTCTGCCTGGGCCCGCTTGACCCAGGACACCAAACAGTGATCTCAAAGATTCCTGCACCTTCTCAGCTTAGAGGCCCAGACCAGGGGCTACTCTCCTCAGTAGGTTCTTGTGGGCCTTTGAGTCCTGCTGGGGAACTGCCGGGGAGGACACCACGATTGCCTCGTCCAGAGATGAGGAAGCCAGGGCTGGTTGGGCTTCCTTGTCCCAGTGGGGCAGGTCCCCTACTCCCGCTTCCTGTTGCGGAGGCGGCAGGTGTGCCCACATCCTCTTGGGGTCTCTGAGGTCCTGGTGGCACTGACAGGGTCTGGGACACAACGACAACTGAGTGAGTAACCTGGGGCTGAACTGGGAAGTCCCAGGAAGTCCTTGGACACCACTGAGCCTGCCAGTAAGACTGTGACCATGGCATGTCCTGCAACAGTGCCAGCATTGTTGAAGTTGACAGTGCCATCTGTTGCGCCGTCATCTGCATAAGGTGGGTGGAGGCCACCATTGACATCACACCGCCCGAGTGGATATTCGTTGACGCCCAAGAGGACAAGTGGGAGCGGCAGCCTTTCTGGTACCAGGTTTCCATCCCAGATGGAGACCAAGGCAACTGGGAGCATCTGGAGCACCAGCATGAACTTCTGCGCCCCGATGACCCTCTCCTTGAGTCTGGCGAACGGTGTTAGACCGAGGCTCCATGGTGCTTAGATGGGAACAGGGAGAAACGGGACACATCTCTGCAGCTAGATTGGCTTAGTGCCAGTGAGTATCTACAGCCCGGTGAATGGTACTATTGCTGTGGTAAGGGGTCCCTTTGGTGGGGTGGTGAGTAGGGAGAGTCACAGAAGATCGTGCATCGTGCCCCAGTGTCTCATGTGCAGACTTAAAAGGATTTAGTAGCGTTCTCCTCTTAGACCCTGGAGAATAACGTGATCAGACTATGCCTGGCGACTGGGGACCGAACAGTGCTTTATCCCTGTGCTAGAGCCCCGCGGACATTGGAGGTGAAACCAGCATGGCACTCATGTCATCTGTAGCCTGGCAGGCCTCCAGTATGGAGCAAAGACAGATTTCTAACACCAATGATGACAGCCTGGGCACTAGGCTCGCAGCCTTCTGGGCCTTCTCCAGCCTGTCCATGGGCTGATCACCCTTTCTCCCCTTGTCTTTACAAAGGGACTTGTCTCTGCCTGGTTTCCAAGAAGGCCTACCCAGGGCTGGGGGCGACGAGCAGTGCTGAGCCATCAATGCCAGTGGTGCACTGCGCCCGAGGCACCAGGATCCAGTGCTGAGTCCAACCACTGGTCTGACAGAGCTAGCACAGACTCCATGAAGAGCACCGTGAGAGGAATACTATGCTCCTTAATAGTTCTGGGATGGAAGGTCCTGCAAGTACAACACTTGTCTGTCCCTCAGGCAACATAAACAGTCCACTAACTGGCACGGGCCTGCAACAAGCAGCACCAGCTTAGAAGCCAAGGGACAAGGCTGGCCTTACCATGAGGTGAACTGAGGCGGCCGCCTCAGGTGCCAGTAGGACCCAGAGTATAGAAAATTGTGTCTGCTGCTGGTGCATATATATTCTCTCTGCTCTAGATGCACAGAGATGGTGGAGTGCCATGAGAGGAGAAGAACGTGAAGAAAGCAGAATTGAGACCTTTCAAAGTTTTGGCCCAAGCGAAGGGATATGGGGGTGTCATTTGAGCTCCCCGCCTCAGGTGCCAAAATATTGTGGGCCGGCCCTGACAGTGGAGCAGGACATAGTCTTTAAGGTGCTGCTATTCCTTCTTTTTAACTTCTGTGAAAAGACTCTGCCTGGGAGACAGTCTTTTCACAGAAGTTAAAAAAGAAGGAATAGCAGCACCTTAAAGACTAACAAAACATGTAAATGGTATCCTGAGCTTTTGTGGTCAACAGTTCACAGTTCATTAACGGGAACCTGAATGCAAAGAGTGTTTGCCACAGCTGAAGCTGGAGCACTCTGTTCCAAGCACCATCACTGGCAGGGTAAGAAGAAACTGAGGAGAGTGGGGCAGGAAGCACCTTATATAGCCCAGTATGCATGCACCACTCCAGGGGAAGCTGGGAACCCCCGCCCTTAGGGGTACTGGTTAGGGAAAAAATTCTGGCACTGGTGCATGTGGCAGGCACAGAAACCTATGTTGAATGGACATGAGGAATCACTCAAAGAACATCTTTTTCATGTTAAGATAACTTAAAATTGCAGAATAGATTTTCTTTAAGCTTTCAAAAGCAAAACCACCAATTATTGACCAAGCATAAAATGTTCTCTCCCAATTTTTCAAGCTACAAAGTAACAGAAAATAAGATTGGGAATCACAGTTCCTTCTCACCCCACATCAGTGAAATGTCACTAATGAAATCCTCTTATTTTAGAAACCCATCACATTTAGAACTTAACTGGCAAAGTGGTAGGTTTTTTCCAAGTCATTATTATATAGGTGCAAGTCAATGCACAAAATATGTTGAGTATCTCCATCTGCAGAGGGAAGGAGACAAAGATATGCCCACTGCAGCTACAACAAGCAAGAGCTGGCCAGAGACAGTGCATCTAAGCTGTTTTTATATAGTAAGATCCTGGAGATACAGATTGATTTTCTGTGCTCAATATTTGTTTCACCTGCCAGGGACTGATAAATGGATTGAAAAGCTGTCCAGCTGCACTGTAGATAGCTCTGCATACTTTACTGAAATGTTATTTTGTAACCTCATACAGAAATACTCAGCAAAAGTTAGCAAATGTTTTTACAACAGCTCCTACTGTCACTAAACAAGAGAAGGGAAAGTGGGAGGGGAACTGTTTTCCTACTCTATAGTGGCAGAGAAATAACAGCTGAAAACCAGCTTACATCGGATTTCAGTCATGTTCACAATGACACTTAATATACCTACCCCATAGGTGTAAGATGAGAGCAACAGAAGCACTCAAATAGGGTTGCCAGATGATTTCAACAAAAATACCAAACAGCACTCCCCCCCCCCCACACACACACCCCAAAAAAACACAGGGGAAAAATTCTGTTGGGGGGGGGGGAAAGAGGGGCAGAGACCAAAGTTGTTGGGGGGGAGGGAGGAAAGGACCCCAAGAGTTATTAAGCAAAAAAATAAAATAAAAAACAGCATTAAAACAGTATGGCCCCTTTAATTGCATGCAGAATCAGACTAGGGATAAGAAGAGGAGAGGTTGTGCAATAAGACCCAGGGGAGGCATTGTATCCCCTTGCTCAGGTCCTGAGGTTTTTTGCCGGCAGCCATCTTTTTCTTTTGGTCACGCCACAAGGGAGCTTCCCTGCAGAACCAGGGAGGTGGGGGGCCGGACACTGGGCCCAGTTGTCAAGTGTGTGTAGGGTTGCCAGGTGTCCAGTATTTTCTGAATTTTTTTTTTTACCGGACAGGAGGCGAAAATACCGGACACTTGGCAACCCTACTCTCAAACTGAAGCTCCACTGGTATACCAATGGCTTCTGGTACACCTTTGTCTGAGTGCCTCATGGCTCTGCAATTTGTTCTAGCTCCTCCTCTACCCCACCTCAAATCCGATGACAATCAAGCCTCATTGCAAGGTCATCCCCTTCCACATTTTAAGATAAAAGAAGAGATGAGGGAGAAGGAATGTAATTGTAGGGATGGAGAGCTCTTCAAAGGGGGCAGGAGATTTGTGGTGAGTTATCTTAAAGTGCTGCTCTTGTGTTTTAAAGTTGTGTCTCAAGCACGCCTAGAGCACATGGATGGGGTGCCCTTTTTAAGTACTTCTGTGCCCTTTCCCACACTCCGTGTCTATCCTGTCATCATAGATATCTACCTCCAAGTCATGGGATACAGACAGTGAAATACCAGGAAACATACAGAGGAAAAAGTCTAAGGAGAAATAATTTCTGACAGTGCTTGAAGTAGAAGAGAAAAAGCAAACAACTGATACCAGAATTGACATCGTCCTCATCGGTCACATCGTGGCAAGGTCTCTGTTGTTAAGAGCTGCACAGAGCAACTCATTTGCAATGCATGGCAACAGCTTCATTTAACCTCTACACGATTGAAATCCTATTGCTGGTCAGTTCCCATCCGCCTCATTCATCCGTTCCCACCAGTTTTCTTTTTTTTTTTTTTAACTCTTACCTTCAAAACTCCCAGAAAACAAGTAAATCCAGGTAAAGGCTGGAACAAAAAGAAGAGTCAGAGAGGCAGCCAGAAATTTCCGTCTCCCTCTGCAGATTCCCAGCATTCTCTCAGAAGTGGAGATCCCCAGTCCAGTGCTATTCCTATGTCGGAAGCATGTAGTCCACAGCCTCCCACATATTACTCCCTGAAAGAGAAAGGAGAAAAGGTTACCAGTTATACCACTGTATGAAGCCAGGCTCTTCCAATGTCCTGCAGAGCTACAGAATGAGATTGAAAATGGGGTTGCTCACATTGCAAAACAATTCCCATTTCAACATGCTGCACAACAAATATAATAATGCATGTCTGAGAAGTGCCTTAAAAGAGCATAAATCAATAAAATGTATCACATCAGCTAAACACACACTGAGCTCATCTTATAAAGAGCAACATTTGTATGCCACCCTTTGAATAGAAACAGACTCCATTCCCCCCCCCCACCCAAAAAAAGGAGAGACAGACACTTCTTGTATCTCTACCTCTATTCCTAAAAAGCAGAAAAAACACTGGGGCTATGTCTACACTTGCAGCTTCTTGCCCGAGTAATATGCAAATGAGGCTAAGCGTGGAATATCGCAGAGCCTCATTTACATACCTAATGAGCAGGGGTCAACAAATTATGGAAAACCCTACTCTCCAGACAAAAAAGGGACTAGCTAGAGAAGTAGGTCTGGGGTGCAGGGGAGGTGTGGGGAACGGGCAGCGCGAAGACAAAGGGGGGCTGGGGCTGTGGCAAAACTGGAGCCAGCGGGGCGGGCCCTGGCTGCGCCACACGCCACAGCCAGCTCCCAGGGACACGCGGCCAGAGCCAACCTGCTGCAGCCCTTTAAAATCAGCGGGGACAGCTCATGCCATAAGAACATAAGAACGGCCATACTGGGTCAGACCAAAGGTCCATCTAGCCCAGTATCCTGTCTACCGACAGTGGCCAACACCAGGTGCCCCAGAGAGGGTGGACCAAAGACAATGATCAAGCGATTTGTCTCCTGCCATCCCTCTCCATCCTCTGACAAACAGAGGCCAAGGACACCATTTTATCCCCTGGCTAATAGCCTTTTATGGACCTAACCTCCATGAAATTATCTAGTTTCTCTTTAAACTCTATTATAGTCCTAGCCTTCACAGCCTCCTCTGACAAGGAGTTCCACAGGTTGACTACACGCTGTGTGAAGAACTTTTATTAGTTTTTAGTTTTAAACCTGCTACCCATTAATTTCATTTGGTGTCCTCTAGTTCTTCTATTTAGGGAACTAATAAATAACTTTTCTTTATCGGCCCTCTCCACACCACTCATGATTTTATAGACCTCTATCATATCCCACCTCAGTCTCCTCTTTTCTAAACTGAAACCCTTTCTTCTTCTTCTTCTTCTTCTACTTCTGACCCCCTGCCTTCCCCTCAGCACAAGCCCCTTCCCCATATTTTTCCTCTCCCCTCCCCACAGCCCAGCCCAGCCCCTTCCCCTCCCCAGAGGCCAGCTCTAGGTTTTTTGCTGCCCCAAGCAAAACATTTACCCCTCCCCCCCCAACTTTGTTGTTGTCTTTTACACGTTTGCATTTTTGGATCTGAGTAGAGGAGAAGTGGGTGGAGGTGGAGAAAATAGGTATCAAATCCATGCAAATCTTTTTGTTTGAGGATTTTGTGCAGATCATATGCCAGGCACAGAAACCTCTCCAGAAAAGTTTTCTGATTTCAAATAGCAATGGATGCAACACGCCAATAGGGACTGTAAGAGCTAAAATCAAGTACTGTGAAGTTTTTAATAATAGTGCCTTTTGGTGCATTCTGAAAGCAACCAGCAGTTGGAACATTCCTACATAGATTTACGGGTTTTTTTACTCACCAGTGCATGCAATGAAAACATATTTCAGCTTTAAGGTCAGACATTTATTAAATTCATAGTGAAAGTAAATTCAACTTAAAGTCAAAATAAGAGATAATTAAAGACAAGAAAGATGGGCTGAAACAGAATTTTACAAGATTTTCTACTTAGGGTCACCACACTTGAGATCTTAAACAGCGGACCACAGACACTACAAAAAATTGCCAAACACTTCCAGAATGGTACTGAATAGCATCAGCTTTGCAAACTAAAAGAGCAATTCAGCAGCCCATGAAGAAATGACAAAACATGCAAGTCACAATTACTCCACACGTGCCAACCGGCTACTGGGGGACCTCCCACCCCCTCCTCCCCCCAGCAACAGCTAGGCTAGGCTCTTTACTCTGACCCAACCCAAGCTCATGCCACTTCAAGCATTACTAGGAGATGGAGGTGGAAATCAGGTGCCAGGGTGGGACCTGGACATATTGCACAGTAGTAAAGACCTGGCAGTGACCACTACAGATACCTCCTCAGACCCAGCACCTTAGCATCCCATTTTTCCCCATAGGCAGTTTGGAGAGGCAGTGTTGTCCCTACTGGCTGGCAGCAATAGTAGCTCAAGCTCCTATGCACTGCTGTTGCCATTCTCTATGGGCAGGGAGAGAAGACCTGTAGGCTCAGCATAACACTGCTTCTGAGGGTACAGCAGCACTACAAGCTGAGGGACAAAATTTTACACAATGTCAAGAGTGGGGGCTTCAGTGACAACTGAATGTTGGAAATCATTAAGCCAGTGCCCTTGAAGACAGAAGGTGCAGTTTCCCTGAAACTGACACTGATTACATTTCCATCCATCTTTTTAAACATCCTACCTCAAGTACTGCCATGATGAGAAGAGTGCTGTTTATACTCTTCTAACAAATACAAATAATATTGCCTGCCTTTTGATGCATTTCACACTACAGGTTCAACCTCTCTAGTCAAGTACTCTCTGGTCCTGCAACATCTGTGGTCTGACAGGATTTTAGTTAGCTGGATGTCAGCTTAGCATGGGGGTGGCCAAATTTCCCACAGCCCCATAAAGTTTGTTTACAGCCACTAGTCTTGACTCTCAATGTTCTGTGCTGTTATTTGCCTATAATTTATCCCTAAATGTCTTCTAAGAGCCCAGAAAGCAGTGGAAGTGCTGGTAATGCTGCAAAGCATAAGCATGGTTTTCATGTTTTAGCTACTTATTTCCTTGTGTCAATACAGTAAAATTTTGTAACAATAACACTGTTATGAAGAGAGCTAATAAGCCTTGCCTAGATGTAAGCTTATATAAGGTGTACCAGTACAGTCATACGTTACTGACTAGCATTGCAAGAGCTGCTCCATTTATTTGTCTCAGTAAAATAAAAATGAAGAGAGACACACATCCCCAAACAATACTGACTTGCTGTGTTTTCTTCCACTATTTGATCTGAGGAAGTGGGTCTGGCCCACGAAAGCTCATCACCTATTAAACCATCTTGTTAGTCTTTAAAGTGCTACATAGTCCTGTGACTTGCTGTGGGTAGAGATGTTACGTTTTGATTAATCAGCTACTCGAGTAGTCGATGGATTCTCGAGTAGTGAGTAGGCGCTCGCTACCTGGCTGCTCTCCCCACCTTGCTGCCTCTGATACAGAGGGATCAAAGGAGGGGACTATGTGTGTAGCCAACAGAATTAACTGATAAGCCCAGGCTTATCAGTCAATCATGTATTTGTCTACACGTTGACATTAAGGTTGTTAAAATGAGGATAATCAGCCAATTGAGTAGTCAATGGAGGGGGCACTTGCTACCCCTGCTGAGATCTGCAGTTTAAATGTAATACATTTAAAAGGCAGAGGTACAGCAGTTGGACCCGAGTGAGCAGGGTCTAGGGATGTGAATGTCTGACCAGTTAACCAGTATGCCTCTCCCTTAATGGGTGAGGCTTACTGGTTAAGGTTATCTGGTGGGTAATGGAGCAGCTCCCTACCTACCGTGGGCAGGGGGCTGTGGCAGCCCCATGATGTGGCCTGCCTGCAGTTGGGGGGGGCACTCTAGCCCAGTTGGGCTGGAGCAGCACCACCCCATCAACACCACCATTTAGTTGTTTAACTGGTTAAACATACTGTTTAACCACTTAACCAATTAAACAGGATTATACATCCCTTAGCAGGGACTGCTTCCAGTCCTTGTTCTTGCCACTTCCCACTGCACCTCTGCCTCCCCTGCCAACTCTCCCCTCTCCCCCCGCCCCTGGGAATTGGTGTTGGGGGGAACTGGCTTTTGAGTCGGCTCCCCCCAACACTGGCTCCTGCTTCCCCCCCAACACTGCCTCTGTATCAGAAGCAGTAAGGGGGGGGAGCAACTAGCTGACTCCATTACCTGATGAGCCTATGCTTATCGGGTAGTTAACTAGTCACTTACACCCTAGCTGTGGGTCAGCACCAGTCAGGTTCGGAGGGTGCTAGATTAGAGAGGTTCAGCCTGTAGTCTTTTGGGTACACACTACTGCGTACCCAAAAGTACACGAAATTTTGGTGGGTAGAGATGGCAAAAATTCAATACCATTCTCATGGAGTGCATCCCTGCTATCCTTTGATACAAAGTAAAAATATACATGGCTCTCAACAGGTGGGATTTTCCAAAGCACAGGGCTAGCCCAGCTTGCACTCAATCAGTGTTGCATTTCTCAAGCACAGCACTGCTGGGGACAACCACAAAAACTTTTGAAAACCCACCCTATATGCACTGCCACAAACATTCTGATGGGCATTGCTATAGGTGCCCAGCTGTATCCTGAGTTAGTCATTCTTATTAAATATTCATAAAAATGTAGCTTGTGTATTGGCCAACTCATAAGCCTCATTCTGGACTGCAGAATATTTGTACAGTATTATTATTCTCTCCAGCTGCTCTGCACCATGATACTGTTGCAAAATAACCTCAGGATCAAAAAGCACAAAGGGCAACTTTGCATCCCCATGTCAGATGCACCATGTCTTGGCTGCAGCTCAGGGCCTGGCCCCATACAATTTTCTGCCATTATGTGATACTGACATATTCCAAACAAAACAGTCACCTCATTCTACACACACATGAAGATCTTTTATGTCACTAGGGAAGACATTTGGAAAGTTCCCAGGTAGACAAGACAGATTGTGATGGATCGTCCCAAGAAACACAGAACAATTTCATATAGCAATACTAAAAAAAAAGCCCTAGAAGTTTCCACCATATCCTCATGTTCCAAAGATTCTGAGTGGCTTCCTCAAGTCTTCCATGGTAGCTTTTCAAAGTTTAAAATCA